ACCTTTTGTGGTGTAGTTGGTAGCACCTTAGCACAGTAATTATGTGTCCTAGGTTCAAGTCCCGGTAAGGGTAAAAATTATTCAATAAATATATATATATATATATATATATATATATATATATATATATATATATATATATATATATATATATATATATATTTATATGTATGCCGCTCTGTTCATATTACAGTTTCTCCCAACCTCAATCATGGCATCGTTTTCGCATTTAATTCAAATCCCAATCTAATTGGGCATCTACAGTAATCAAATAAGCACATTAAAATATGTGAAAACATGAATCATATATTACCCGACAGGGAATCGAACCTGGGACACATAATTACTGTGCCAAGGCGCAATCAACTACACTACAGAAGGTCTAAAAGAGATACCAACATTACAGTTTAACTGCTATACTAGGAATGAACACTTAAAGGTTGTAAGGTTGGTTCTTCTATTAGACCTTCTGTGGTGTAGTTGGTAGCACCTTGGCACAGTAATTATGTGTCCTAGGTTCGATTCCCGGGCTGGTAAAGAATGATACATGTTTTCGCATATGGTAATGCACTTATTTAATTATTGTTGATGTCCAATTAAATTGGAATTTGATTTAAATGTAAACAAAATGGTATTCAGATAGAGTGCGTTCATTCCTAGTATTGCAGTTAAGATGTAAGATTGGTTTCTCTTTTAGACCTTCTGTGGTGTAGTTGGTAGTGCCTTGGCAAAGTAATTATGTGTCCTAGGCTCGAGTTCCAGACGTGTAAAATATGATTCTTGCTATCACATATGGTAATGTGCTTATTATATATATATATATATATATATATATATATATATATATATATATATATATATATATATATATATATATATATATATATATATATATATATATATATATATATATATATATATATATATATATATATATATATATATATATATATATATATATATATATATATATATATATATATATATATATATATATATATATATATATATATATATATATATATATGAATCATATTTTACCCCGACCGGGACTCGAACCTAGGACTTATAATTACTAAGTCAAGGCGCTACCAACTACACACCACAGAAGGTATAAAAGGAATCCAACCTTATAGCTTATATCTGCTATACTTAGGGATGAATGCATTCTATCTGAATGCCACTATGTTCATATTACAGATTCCCCAACCTCACTCGTGGCTTCATTTTAGCATTTAATTCAATTCCCAATCTCATTCGGATCACACAATAACCAAGCAAGCACATTACATATGTGAAAACATAAGTCCTAGGTTCGAGTCCCGGTCGGGGTAAAATATGATTCATGTTTTCACATATGTAATGTGCTTGCTTGGTTATTGTGTAACCCGAATGAGATTGGGTATTGAATTACATGCTAAAATGAAGCCACGAGTGAGGTTGGGGAATCTGTAATATGAACATAGTGGCATTCAGATAGAATGCGTTCATCCCTAAGTATAGCAGATATAAGCTATAAGGTTGGATTCCTTTTATACCTTCTGTGGTGTGAAGTTGGTAGCGCCTTAACTTAGTAATTATAAGTCCTAGGTTCGAGTCCCGGTCGGGGTAATATATGATTCATGTTTTCACATATGTAATGTGCTTGCTTGGTTATTGTGTGACCCGAATGAGATTGGGAATTGAATTAAATGCTAAAATGAAGTCACGAGTGAGGTTGGGGAATCTGTAATATGAACATAGTGGCATTCAGATAGAATGCGTTCATCCCTAAGTATAGCAGATATAAGCTATAAGGTTGGATTCCTTTTATACCTTCTGTGGTGTGTAGTTGGTAGCGCCTTGACTTAGTAATTATAAGTCCTAGATTCGAGTCCCGGTCGGGGTAAAATATGAATCATATTTTCACATATGTAATGTGCTTGCTTGGTTATATATATATATATATATATATATATATATATATATATATATATATATATATATATATATATATATATATATATATATATATATATATATATATATATATATATATATATAGATAGATAGATAGATAGATAGATAGATAGATAGATATGACGTGATGTTATCCCACTTGATAACACCACTTTGTCGTAGTGTTACTGGTCACTAGGTTACTTTTAATCAGAAGACGGGGTGCAAGGTAAGAATGGACAAGAGGTGGTTCCTTGACCTTAATTTTTTCTAACATCTTCGACACCTCAATGCCCCCCACCCTATGACTATCAAAATCTATGATCTATTCGTGCCCCTGGTACTATTCTGACTAACTGTCGCTCTCTGACTGCTCTCTGGCTGCCATGGGGATGCTTGAAATACCCCAAAGGGCAGGGCGTGTCGCTAAATCTACTTCTGCCAATTGCCTTCAGGTTCAAAGAGAGGTCCCTCCTCTTGGGGGATGGGCTATTTCAGCTGGCCTATAGAACGGAAGAGTTTTAGGTCAGTGCGTGGCTATTGGGTATCCCTCTAGGGCATATAGGGTTACTTGTGGTTTTGGGCAGGGCCGAATTCTGGGTCTTTCCCACACTCTTGAGGCACTTGACGTCGTGTGGCTAAGCCCTGGTGCTAAAGCACCTGGGTTCAGTCAGGTGCTAAGCCCTATGGATCCAGCCAGGTGCTAAGCCCCCTGGATCCATTGACTGTACCCAGATAAACAACAGGGAGAGTATTCTATTTCACCCTTGACCTCTAGCCTCTCATGTTTCTCTTCACAACTTGTTACAGTTTCAGATTCTGGCCTCAGCAAGACTTCAGTCATGCGACAGATAGACAGATAGATAGATAGATATATAGATAGATAGATAAATAAATAGATAGATAGATACATAGATATACATGGCCCCATTGCCCACTGTAAAGTGTGTGGCCGAGCATAGACACACGCATTCATTACAATACCCACAACTTGGCCACTTCCATTAGCTCCATGAGGATAAAGGTTTGCCACAGTTCCCCCTTACTACCCTGCTTTGGTCATCCACGAGGTAGGTAGGCAAGGATATTCTATGGTGAGGCATGACAGCGCAACTGGTTTACCCAAACCGCTACATCATATGGCAACTTCTTCCGCACTCGTCCATCACAGTTCACTGTGCTAGCAGGTGTGAAAAATTAATTTGACCAGCATCACCTAAACACAGTCTTCCTTCACTCATTCCTATCTCTTGCACGTTCTCTTCCTTACTCCACTGACATTCCACGTGCAACTGAATGCTCTCTGATCTAACAAATCCGACAGTTTCTTTTCAACACCCGTGTTCTGCTTGACATCCTCATTTCTTACTCTATATATTCTAGATACATCAGTCATACTTGCCAAACACTTCTTCTCCACTACATTAATTTATTTCTTTTCATCCTCTCCTGCATTCGAAATGTCTGCTCCATATAATGTTGTCAGGACAATTACACCTTCATATATCCTTCTCTTTGCATACACTCGTAAATACCTATTTCTCATCAAACTTTTCATCCCACCTAGACATTTACTCTCCTCCGTCACTCTATGACTTACCTCTGCATCCACTCGTCCACTCCTTGATATACACCAGTGGTTCTTAATCTTTTTCAGTATATGCACCCCTTTCAAATTAGCAGTCAGTTCTCGCACCCCCCCCATTACTGAAATAAAAAATTCTAAACATACAAAGTTGATGTGATGTGTATTAATAATAAAACCACGTTTTATTTTTATTTAATCTTCATTCATATAGCTTTTACATTTTTTTTTCATGACAAAAATCCAGAGTACATATTAATAAAAATGATAACCTCCCTCTCCCTGTGTCACCTACGTGTCCAATACGCGTCCCTTTCCTAAGTCCATCCAAATCACATACGTATACCCTGTACTCGAATCTGTTGCAACTTTGCCACTTCATTAGGAAATTAGGTTTAGAACTTTAGGTTTATCTCTATCTCAGAACACTGCTGAAGCAAAAAGTTTTTTTTTCAGGAAAAATATAATGCGTATTTATAAAGATACATACATACATATACCTTGGCTGTTTCCCCCTTTAAATGGGGGGTAGCCGACATCAAAAAAGGAAAACAGTTTGGGGAGAATATTTTGCTTTAATTATTCATAGGCATCCTCGCACCCCTTAGGAACCGGTCTCGCACCCCCTAGGGGTGCGAACACCCCTAATTAAGAATCACTGATATACACGATCCCATATACTAAAAACTCATTTTCTTCAAGAAAATCGCCCTTCACTACTATATTTTATCTGCTAATATTTGCACACCTCGTGCATCTCATGACTACTTTTACAAATATTCTCCCGCAACTTCCTTCTTTCACACACTCTAACAACCTCAGTCACCAAATGAGTCAGTTAATTTTCTGTATCAGCCACCAGTGCTGTGTCATTCTCGAATAGCAAATGATTTAATTTCCACAACCTTCAATACTCACCCACTAATTATAAGCCTCTATCTAATACTCTATCATTTATCTCCCTTAACACCCCATCAATATATATGTATATATATTAAACAACCACAGCAAAATTACACAACCTTCATATAATCCTACATTCACCTCAAACCAATCACTCATACAATTCCCGACTCTCAGGCAGGCTCTACTATTCATGCAAAAACTTTTGACCATATTCAACATACTTCCACTTATTCCACACAGTCGTAACACACTCCACAATGCCTCTCTGTCATCTCTGTCAAACGCCTTCTTTAAGTCCATAAAAGCCCAAAAAGAGTCCCTACCTTTCCCTGATCCAAACATCCTCCTCCTCTCCTAAACCTACACTTCTCTTCCTCAATCAATCTTGCAATACATTTCCTAATTCTCTCTTTACCTCTTCTACCTGGATATTTGAAACATAGTGAATCATCAAGACTTTTGTAAATTTTGCAGTCCTTCCTGATACCACTTCCGTATAATATATGTCCAGAGATTTCCTTTTTTCACTATATATATATATATATATATATATATATATATATATATATATATATATATATATATATATATATATATATATATATATATATGTATAATATATATATATATATATATATATATAT